AATGAGGTTTTTGAATTAGCTCTGAAGGGTAGTTCAGTGGTTAGGTCTTGAGTTTGCTGGCCAATGGTCACCAGTTCGAGTTCTTTCAAGGCTACTGAGGTGAGTACCCGACTGTAAATTTCAGGGCCTCATGAGATTAGTCGAGGTGCGCCTAAACTGACTCGAACACCCACGATCATTAAAAAAGAAGAATGAGGTTTTTGAATTTAATCCTTGTAAGTTACAGCTAATGAAATTACATTAAGTTTAAGCCAATCTCTCAAGTCTCAACCAAATAGATATTATGTTCCTCATGTCAATGGCTGCTGAAGATTCTCCTGTGAAGACGACATTGAGTTATTAAAAAGAAGAAAAACCCCACATCAAAGAGTAGATTCTCCCGACGTATCCCCCCCCTATGGTTCGTGTACCCTAAATCACACCCAAATGGATCCCACAATATCTAGATTCTGCACAAAGTTAAACAAGCCTATCATTTCCCAACTTTTCGTTATCCCATTTCAGCAGTACAATTTCTCTCTTGTTCTTTTTCTCACCAGTAACACGTATATATACCCTTCCCACTCTTCACTTCCTCCACCATCATCGCCATTTGCTCTAAATTTATTTTCTCCTCCTATACCAACATCACTTAGTTGAAGAGCACAAGTATACATATTTAAAATTATTAGTCCTAAGAAAATCATGTCAGGTGTTTGGGTATTCGAGAATAATGGTGTGATAAGGCTAGTCGAGAATCCAGCGGCCGAGCAGCAGGGTGATGGAAGCCATTCGAAAAAGAAGATGTTAGTGCACTTGGCAACAGGCCAAGTGGTGTCATCGTACAATTGTCTAGAGCAGATTCTGAGGGATTTAGGTTGGGAAAGGTATTATGGTGGTGATCCAGACCGGTTCCAGTTCCACAAGCACTCTTCCATTGATCTTATTTCTTTACCTAGCGACTTTTCCAAGTTCAATTCCGTTTACATGTACGATATTGTTGTCAAGAATCCCAATGTCTTCCAAGTTCGTGACATGTAATTAACTTGCGTACTAGCTACATCTAGGCTTTCACACTCTTGGTTGTCCTTGTCCACTTCTCACCTACAATAAATGAGCTAGAAAAATTCATATATATGCTAGGTCTTCGCCAAAAGTTTCATTCTTCATATGCCGTGTCTTGGAGAAAATGCCTGTAGAAATTAATTTGTATAGCAGCGAGGCCTTATCTTCTCTGTGTATTGCATCCATTTTTTTACTCAGTGAAATGTTTGTTTCTTGCAATGTGTTGGTATGATAGCTTATTGGCGTTGATTGTTTCGTTTGTAATTTCAAACTTATCGCCAATGATAAGCTTGTAAGAAATTTTAAGATGGTCACTGAAAGTAGTTTATAAAGGTTTCACATATGGTGACATGATTAGAAAAACTCATGAAATCATACATATCATTGTTAAGTTCTCAAAGTGAACTAACCATATGCGTGCAAGACATTATCGTGTTCTCATTAAAATTTTTTTTTGCATGCATATCGTACGAAATAACGTTTAGTGAAAGTTAAGAACACCAATCTTTACATTGAAAGTTAAAATGCCGCACGAAGATTGTAACTTATTTAAGAACACTAATTTTGAAAATTAAGGGCTCGTTTGAGCTTTAAATGGATTGATCAACTTGTTTGAAAATAATTGACTCTGATATTCTATTGAACATTGAATTTCTATTTTAGATGGTCGACCTTTCAATGCCAGCGTGCTAAAATAATCAGTGAAGTTCTTGTTGAAGATGGTAAATAAATTAGTCGATAATGATTAATGGAGACATTTATGATCACATGTTGAAAAAAAAAAAAAGAAAGAAAGAAAGAAAAAGTAAATCCCCTCCAAGATGTTCGGAGATAAAAGCGAAAGTATAAAAGGAAGAACATTGGTGANAAAGAAAGAAAGAAAGAAAAAGTAAATCCCCTCCAAGATGTTCGGAGATAAAAGCGAAAGTATAAAAGGAAGAACATTGGTGATTGCAATTGTCCCAAGACAACATTGTCAAACTGGCAGGCAATAATTTTGATAATACAAATAAATATAAAAGATAATGACTATGCTTTGAAAGAGACATGCATGCATATAATTTGTTAAAAGATTATGGGATGAAGTTTCCAACAAGTTGGTACCCGACGGATCCAATCATAACAAAGATTTTGATGTTTTGACATTCAACAAAGGTTGTAATAGGGGCATGGTTGTTCACGTGAACTGGATTGTTGCAAAATTAAGCTTTTCATGGGGGGGCATGTTTGCACGTGTATGGCTTATCGGCATCTTATATATAAAAAATATTCAGTTGTCCCAATATTGTGACCAATCAAAATTCATACACAAGTAGTCCACAAATTGACCCCTACAGTTCTTTGTCCCAACAAATACACGACCACCGGAACAAACGGTGTTATTGTTCTTACCTATATATCTTGATACAAGTGTTTTAATATAGAGTGAATAGTATTATGATCTCTCATGTAGTTTCCGTAAATATATATATGATTATCAAATTAGATTTCTATTTTCAAAAATACTACATATTAAAGGTGTTATGCCTCTTCTAAGGAGTCTCCAAAGAGTGCCATTTGGCAACAAACTAGCAAGTTCAATCAGGTCCACACTCCACTTCACTATCTTACTTGATCTAGTTGAGGACATAATCTGGTACTGAATCAAACTCAAAATTCACTTAAGGCCTTAACTTCTGCTGAATAATATTAATAGATTCCGTGGAATCAAGGAAAACATATAATTGGATCTATTCAACACAAAGCGGGTACCTTTACTAATTCTCAGGACTCCACCTGCATAAGTGTATATGTACCCTTTTGAATCAAAAGTATTCAAGGAGATAAGATTTCTATTCAAATTGAGAACATGTCTTATAGCACCAAATCTTCTAATAATCCCATCAAATATCTTAATTTTGACCCTTCCAATACCAACTATCCTACAAGGTGAATTATTTTCCATTACCACAACACATTTGCAAATTGTTTCGTATGTTAAGAACAAATCTTGATTATGACACATATGAAAAATGCAAGTTGTATTAAGAATTCAATCCTTGTCAGGTTTGAAGTCGCCATCAGAAATAATCAAAGGTTCTCCATTATTGTACCTATCTTTTGCCATACTGACTTCACCTGAAATTTCTGATTATTTTTCCTTTTGATTTGCAGTAGCTAAATTTTTCTTTTTCTGCAACTTATAATAATCAATTACAGATTTTATTATTGTAATTAGATCTGAATCTGTCACCCATATAATTACCATTAACAATAAAGTTATCTCCATGAGCTTCAAATCCTACAAAATGCTTCGTCTCCTATGAAAAAAGAGCATCATAAATTTCTTCAATAGTGAGAGTATTACAACTGTATAAGACCACGTCTCTAAACGACATGTATAAAGCCGACAACGAACATAATAATATTATATGTGAAAGAATCTAGAACGTTCTAATACCACAAGTTTTAGGATTTACTGAGTTTACGTTCCATATTACAAATTATTCAATTCGACCATAAATGTGGAATTAAGTTAACTAAATCAACAAGTCACTTTAATTAATTGTCTAGTTGATAAATCATACAATTCAATTTGTTCTAAGTTTAAATGTCGCAGGTATAATTTGAAAAGTAGTAAAAACAATAAAAAAAATACCAAAGTTGTTGACGGAGAAACCCAACGTGGGAAAAAACTCCGGAACCAAGTCAGTTACCTCCATTATTGACAATTCAGAGCATACAATGATACGCCTATCATGTACCCGTTAAGACCCCTTGCCACAGCCTTACAATCTACTGCCGTAGACACCTCTAGCGCTAAAACTCCTGATCTACCTCCTGCAGCCTTCTATTGCCGTAGATTCTTCTAGCCTCCTGCAGCCCAATCTGCTGTCTCCTAAGCTCCCTGGTCTGTACTGAACGTCTCTCCAAGGGGAACACTGATAAGTACAATTTATGTATTTATTTATGTCACATTATTAAACTTTTAAGTCGTCAATTTATTAATTTCTATCTAACTTAGGTTAACTTTCATTGTGTTTTTAGTGATGGACTAGTTTGAAGCATTTGGAAAAGGATGAAGGACTAATTGGCCATTCGATGAGAAGTTTGGAGATCAAATTTCATACTTTGAAAGTTGAGGAATTGGAGAGTGGAATTAAAAGAAACATGCAGCTGACTTGGACTCTAAGAAACAAATAAAAGTGGGCTGTTGGTTAAGATATATTACATACGAAAGAAAAAAAAACCAAGGCAGAAATTGACTGCCGGCTGGGAATAAAATTGGGAGACAAGACCATTGAAAAGGGTAGCCAATTAGAGGGGAAAGAGATACAAGAGTATACCGGCATTGGGGGCTGATTTATATATATTTTACACACTAATTAGAGGGGAAGAAAGGTGAGATATATATACAAGAAGTCGCTGGCCAGAATTCACAAAAAAAAAAAAAAAAAAGGCTGCTTGGGAGTAAAAGAAAAGTGGCTGCTAGTCTAAAATATATATATACATACACTGCCGGGTGAGAAAGTGGAGAAGACGAGTGCCAACTGGGGAAATATTTATACACACTTTGGCGGCTGAACTTGGGGAAACTGGTTATATATATACACATAATTTGGTAGAAAAAGTGGAAGAATTCTTGTGGTTTTGCTTTGGAATTCAAACTTAGCAGATAGAAGATTGAAGGAAAATAAAAGTCAGAAACATTGCGGCTGGAAGTCAAAGAAAAGGCTACAGATTTGAGAGGAAAACAACCGGTCAAAGTGAAAGAAAAATACACTCGCGCAGAAGTCCAGAAAGAAATTGAGGAATTAATCATGTTTCGTCGACTTTGGGTGATGTCTTTCCACTTTTATTTGTTTAATTCCAACGTTATGCTAGGCTAAATATTTTTATGTATTGGATGGATGACAAAATTGTTTAATTCTTAGTTTTAATTCGAGACCTATGTTTTTAAGTTAATTCTTGTGTTGTGATTCCATTAATATGTCTATTTATATTGTTTTAATATTTGCGCACCATTAGGACAATAAGTTGCTTATTAGTAGTGTTAGAAAACTCACGATAGGTAGAACACTATTATTGGGACACACGGGCAATATATGTTAGGAATAATGTTTATGGTGTGTGCGATCATATGTGATAATCTTAAATGTCAATGCATATTTGTCATATGAATTCGAACTAGGAATATGATTATCTCGTGGTAACCATAGATTTATTATATCTTGGGAAAGAATAATAAATAATAATGAAATTATTGATCGTCACAATTGTATGAATTGAGATAATTATCATTGGTTGAGAATTAGAACTAAGAATTGATCAGTGGAGTCGAAAATTCAATACATTCGCACATATGATTTTTAAACCAACTTCATTCTTTTCACAAGTTTTAGTTATAAAAATTATTTAGCTATTCCTTCGATCGTTTTTTAGTTACAAACACGAATTTAAATATATCAAATATACTAAAATTGATCCTTATTCCCTGTGGGACGATAACTTTCTCGTCACAGTTATTATTTGTACAACGAACCCGTACGCTTGCTGAATTTTGAAGAACAAACACCAAGAACCGCCTATTCTTGTGCTTGTAACTGCGCCTCAATCCACTTCTCTCAGTTCCCAATGAGAGAGTCACTTCCTCAAGAGATTAAGGAAGACACGGTATTTTGGGTTATGAAGATTGATGTTTTCCCAAAACATTGGTTGTTGGATCACAAGATGAATGTATGTGAATTCTTCAATGCATTATAGCTTGGATCACTCAATGATGTTATCAATGTGTTTGACAATGAAAAAATAATGTAGCAACCTACAATTTCACGTCTATGACTTTTGTATTTATCGTTAGGGACAAGAAAGTGTCATGGGCTATTTAAAACTCTCAAAATCGCGACCTAGACTTTGGCCGGATGACATCATCGCTCGAGTGAGGAGCTAGTGAGGAGCAAGCAATAGCTGAGTAGTCGTTAGTATTTTCATCATAACTTTATCTCCCAATGTCCGCTTGAGGTAATTTAAAATGTGTTGGAAATCTAACTTAAAGGACTACAATTCTTATATGGTAGCCTTATCCAAATTCTAATGTTTTCTATGTGAAAAATGCAATGCAATTTACAACTAAAAATCCGAAACATAATTTGTGCGACTCTTTGATATCCTTTAGACTTCCAATTGTGTTCCGATGATCTTATGTGATATTCTTGAACATC